GATCAGCATCCACTTATCAGAGAGAACATTCGGCCTTTGGTTTTTTGGGATTGGCTTACTTCCCTTAGCATGATATTCTCCAACTCCATCCATTTACCTGAAAATTGCCATAATTTTATTCTCTTTTAATGCTAAGTAATGGTCCATTGTGTATATATACCATAGTTTCTTTACCCATTCATCTATTGAAGGACATTTAGGTTCGTTCCTCAGTTTAGCTATTGTGAATTGAGCTGCTATTAACATTGATGTGGCTGTGTTACTATAGTATGCTGTTTTTAAGTCCTTTGGGTATAGACCAAAGGGTGGGATAGCTGGGTCAAAACTTTCATTCCAAGTTTTCTAAGGAATCTCCATACTGATTTCCAGATTGGTTGTATCAATTTGCAGTCTCACTAGCAATGTATGAGTGTGCCTTTTCCCCCACATGCTTGACAACACTTATTGTTGTTTGTATTCTTATTGTTGTTTGTATTCTGGTGTTGAACATTTCTTCATATATTTGTTGATCGATTGTGTTTCTTCTTCTGAGAAGTGTCTGTTCAGCTCCTTAGCTCATTTATTAATTGGGTTGTTTTCTTTTTTTGTTGTTAAGCTTTTTGAGTTCTTTATATATCCTGGAGATCAGTGCTCTGACATGAATGTGGCAAAAATTTGCTCCCAAAATGTAGCCTCTCTCTTCACCTCACTGATTGTTTCTTTTGCTGAGAAGAAGCCTTTTAGTTTGAATCCATTCCATTTATTGATTCTTGATTTTATTTCTTGTGTTTTAGGAGTCTTATTAAGGAACTGGGGCCTAATCTGACATCATGAAGATTCGGGCCTCCTTTTTCTTCTATTATGTGCAGGGTCTCTGGTCTAATCCCTAGGTCCTTGATCTACTTTGAGTTGAGTTTTGTGCATGGTGAGAGACGGGTTTAGTTTCATTTTGCTGCACATGGGTTTTCAGTTTTCCCAGCAATATTTGTTGGGTTATGTTCACTTTCTTCAGAGAGAATTTACATGTGCTTTGGGAAGGTACCAGAGGTTACTCGTGATCTAGTTTCACTTTAATTTACATTCAGATCCTGAGGTGGTTTAAAAAAAGAAAAAAAAATGCATTGTTTGCTGTGGATGGTGAGCTTTAGTATCCAGGTTTATTCTAGACAAAGTAATAGAGGTAATCTAAACCCTCCAGCTGAGGACAGCTTCAAAATCTGGTCAAAATTCAAACAAACAAACCAAAATAAAACCATACAAATTTGTTGGGAGGCATCCAGCAGGGTGGTGAAAGTTCACCTCTTTAGCTGTGCGGGGCTGTGTAATAGTTTTAACATTTGTCCTCTCCCAAACTGGTGTTTAACTGCCACTGTAACAGCATGAGGAGGTGGGCACTTTAAGAGGACAGTGGGCCCTAAAGGATCTGCCCTCTCAGGAAGGATTTTTGGAGTGGTCCCCCTCTCCCTGCCCTTTTGCATTGGGATAAAACAGCAAGAAGGCCTCACCAGATGCTGTCACCTTGATATTGGACCTCCCAGACTCCAAAATTGTAATATATATATATATATATATATATATATATATATATATATATTACAAATCGCTCACTGTGTGCTACTCACACCACAGAACACACTAAGACAGGCTGCTTTTCTTCTGGGCTTTGCTAGGCCCACAGTAGCTGACATTTGCCTTGTGAAATCAAGTGGTGGTTGGAGCATTGACCAAGTGGTAGGGTTGCTGATGAGTCTCCCTTGCTCTGCTTTGGGACCCTGACTACCCTAATGATTAAATTTTGTGCTTTAATAGAATTCTTTAAAAAAAGAAAAAAAATGCATTGTTCACTGTGCATTATGTGCTCAGTTTTTCCTACTGACAGAAAGCTTAGTTCATCAGAGAACAGAACCCTGACCTCCTTGATTCCAGGAGATCATGGATACTGGAGGAGCCCTGAATTTGTCTTTGGAAGGCCCAAGGATCAGTCCCTGATATCAAGTGGCAACTATTGAAATAGCAGGCAAAGTACCAAGAGGGAACCAAGAGACCTGCAGGGTTGACTTCATGAACGAGCCTGGGAAGCCCTAGCCAGAGCACCTGAGTCTAATTCATGGCCTGCCACACAGAGCAAGGAGCTCGGTTATGCAGGCTCCATACCTGGTGCAAACCCTGGCTCTTCTGAGTCTCAAGGATGGCATGGTGCCTAAATAACGATATATTAGGAGGGTATGGTGGCGCATGCGTCTATTCACAGCAGCTGGGAGGCTGAGGCAGGAAGATCACGAGTTCAAAGCCAGTTTCAGCAACTCAGTGAGACTCTGTCTCTAAATAAAATATAAAATAGGGCTGGGGATGTGGCTCAGTGGCCGAGTGCCTCTCCATTCATTTCCTGGCACCGCCCCCCAAATCAAGAATGAAATATTAAGAAGCTCAGCACCTAAGAGCCCACTTCCACTGAATGCCTCTTTTGGAGACATGCCTTAATCTGTGCTAGTGAGAGGGGCGAACACTGTCTGAGGCTGCTCCTATGTTCTCTCCTCTTTACATCTTCCACTTTTCCATCTCCACCTTTCCCTCCAGAGAGAAGTATGTGAGCAGTGTGCCTCCTATGCTGCCATTCCAGGGTCCTGTTTCCTTTACTTTCTGGTCTTTGCCCTCTTTGGTGTGCCCTGCTTAAGGTCCTGTTCAAGGTTGTTCCTCTACCCTATGACACCAGCCCCAAAAGGTGGTAGTGGGGACCAGAGTTAGAATTCTGATGCTTTGTGCAAAGTGCCTGAACTCTTGATAGAGAAGGTGGAATTGAAAGGGGGCACATTGTTTTAGAAATAAATATGTGGCAGAATCCTTTGTTGATACAATGACGAGATGCAAGAATGGCTTCATGCCTCAGATAAAATCACCTTGTCTATTCTGTTAATTTCCATCTGAACTCTTGTGTTGCTGCATTTTACACATTTTTACTTTGGGGGAAATGAAAGGATTTCTAAGCAAATTAATACTCAAAATGAATTCAAGCAGGGCTGGGGACGTGGCTCAGTGGCAGAGCACTTGCCTAGCATGCTCAAGGTCCAGGTTCAATCCCAGCACAGGCAAAAAAAAAAAAAAAAAAAAAAAAATCAAGCATAATTCAAGCATAGCACTTAAATTTATTGCCATGTGATAAATCTTTCACAAAAATAAGAAAAGAACTCTGGGTGGCTTTGCAAAGCTGAGGCAGTGATGTGGGTAGAGGCCTTGATGCTGGGGCCCAGGTGGTGGAGGCTGCTGCCCCAGGGGAGCTAGGCCTCAGCACTTGTGCTGTGTAGCAGGCTGGAGAGGAGGAGAGGGAGGCACGTCTGAAGCCAGGGCTCCGTGAACTCAGGGAGCCTAGAGGCCTGAGGAAGTGACCCTCAGTTTCTTGTCAAGGCTTCTGTGGCAGTTTGCTCTTATCAAGATGTCTGGGCTTTTGGGGACCACATTCCCCCCTGCTCCCCACCACATGGATTGACAGTCCTGTATCAGTCCTGGGTCATGGCTGTTCCATGGCACTGCCCAGCCTTCAGACTCAGAGGACAGTTCTGTGGTCTTAACAGACATTAGCGGCTTCACATAACACTTAAAAACCTTTTCATTTTTTGATGCTGTTTGTTCAAAGGAAAAGAAAGCAAATCAGAATTGGAAACAAATTAAAGCTGTAAGCATTTCCCACATAGGAAATAGGCATAATGCTACCTCGAATGACAACCAAGTCATTCCACCTTCAGGTCACCTGCATCCCAAAGCTGGACTGAGGAGAAGGTGTGAGCCACAGCACCAGCCAGAGATCCCACCCAGACCACAGGATGGGAGTCAACGGCCACTCTTGGGGACAGAGGGGCCTGACAACACAAGTGCTGAGAGGGAGGCGGGCCCAGTCATGTGAAGCAGCTGAGTCCCTTCGAGGATCTCTGGGAGGGCCAGGAGCCAGCCCCTGGGATGCATTTGCTTCCTGTGCCCACCTCTCCAGACCCTTCGTCATCTGGCCTCAGGGGCTTCCACTTCACCCTGTCCAAATGAGGGTAAGGGAACGCTCCTAGGCCAAAAGCCAATAAGGACGACCCAGCCCTGGCTTTTCACAGGTGGAAATCACACAGAGGTACACTGAAGTGCTGGCATGGTTTGAACCTTTGCATCAGGTATGGTGACTAGATTCCCAGTCCCAGGGGCGCGGAGACAGACAGAGACACTGGTCCTGAAGAACTGAAGGGGTGACTGCCGGCTGAAGCAGCTGCCCAGCCTCATCTGGGTCATGCGCTTCCCATTAGGAAACCTGCAGACGCTTTTTCACATTCTTGACAGTGAAACTAGGCTCCTTGTCTCTACTGGGCAGGGACTGGCCAGGGACAGTGTGTGACTTGAAAGGACAGTCCTATGGTCCTCATACCACGATTCTGCTCAACACAGCTCAGTGGCATGTTCCTCAGAGAAGCTCCTTCCTCTAGCTCAGGGACCAAACCCACAGTTTTCATGGCCCCAAAGCATTTTTAAAGTATTAGAAACAAAGAGAAAATCATGTTTTCCATTTTCGCCTGGATTATAGCATTAATAAATGAGTATCCTTTTGCTTTGACTAGCCTGGTTGAAGGAAAACAACTGCTTTCAAAATTAAGCTTTTCTTTTCCCGGTGATGAATACAGAGCAGATTCACTTAACCTGTGTGACGCTCTAGTTGAGCTCCAGCTGTAGTTCAGAGGCCAACTCTCCCCAAAGGAGCCTTTTTCTTTCTTTGAGGGAAAGACAAAGAGCCTTGAAAGGCTAGTGCTGCACTGCCCAGGCCAGTGTTTAGGACACTGTGACTGCTGAGAGGTGTGCACATGCGAGCGCGCGCGCACACACACACACACACACACACACACAGGCATGTGTGCCTACATGGCCAAAACAAAGTCTTAAATGTGCTAACAACAACAACAAAAAAATAGTGTGTACTGCTGTGTTTATCATGTGCCTAGGGCATCAGGATCCTGGGAAGCTCTAGATTTTTGGTTTAGAAATAAAACTGCATGTTGACTAGCAGGTTTTCATGTTTATTATTGTTGTGTGCCCCCAACCCCTTGCACTACAATCTAAGCTGAGTGATCTATTGCCAACTGGCATCAATTCTCCAAATCTAAGTGTGCGAGGGAAACACGTTCGTGATCCTCTCTGATAGAAGACACACTGGGCATTCTGTCTGCCTCTGTTCCCCAGAAATAAAATAACTAGCAGGGCTGTTTGGCTGGGGTGGTGGGAGGTGCGTCCTGCCTCAGTCAGAATCCATTGTGAACAGCTGGACGTCCTGTGGGTTCCAGTACAGGCCCACTGCTGAGTTGTAGACCAGAGACCACACGTAGGGGATGAAAAACTCCTCGGGCTGCTCCTCTTCCACGTATTTGAATTTCAATTCTGGAAATTTCTGCAACAAAAACAAGATGATTTTTATCATTTTTATCATCTGATTTTTATCAGTTCCATGCACAGGCAAGAGCAGCAGGAGTTTGTAAGTGGTGTGGTGAATGGAGAATCCCCTCCCCTAGTCGGTCACAGGCTGGAAGCACCAGGCTTTTAAGACGTTTGCTGTACAATGGATCCTCAGGAAATGTAAATAACTTGTGGCACGAGTGAGTTCTGGTCAGTTAATGTCAGTCTGGCTGACAGTTTGCTGAGGAGGGACCCAAACAGCACATATGACTAAGATGAGACTTATCACAGCTGAGCAAGAGCCCCTCCTTTGGGCCGGACAACGTTCAGGCAAACATCCTCTGGTGTATGAGGCTGGGACCTCATCTGCAGTGTTGAGTCATTCTGGAGATGAGGACCCTCCCTCACAAATCCTGGGCCTTGAACTAAAGAGGGAGACGCTGGCCACAGTATTGGAGTGGGCAGCTTTCCCCATAGCCTTAGCTTTGAAGAGGGGAGCTCAAGGTCACTCTTCAAAGCCTTGCAGGTGCTTTGGGCCTGCACTCCTCAGTCCTGTCCCACAGGGAGAAGGTGAGCCGCTTAGCAGTCTATAGTGGCACTTACATTATAGCAGGATTTGGGCTGTAAATATTTTTAATTTGTGGGCTGGGGTTGTGGCTCAGCGCTAGAGAGCTCGCCTAATGCTGCATTTGATCCTCAGCACCACATAAAAATAAATAAGTAAAATAAAGATATTGTGTCCAACTACAACTAAAAAATATTAAAAAATTTTTTCCTAATTTTATTCCTGACCTATATATGTAATCCAGCTTGGACACAGAATGATTCTCCTAGCAGCCTGGGGAGCAGCTGTGACCTACTAAAGCCTTTGGTACCAGGGCAGCTCTGTTAGGAGAGACTGCAGTTTGGCGATCCCAGTCACAGGTGGGTGGGAGATGAGGGGCAAGCCCAAGGTGCTAGGAGGTGGTGGTGGTGGTGGAAGGCTGAGGAGGAGCGCTGAGAAAGCAAAACCACACATCACAGCCATGACCCCATTACATAGAAGGCCTGGCCCATGAGATTTTCATGCTTTGTTAGTGGCTGCATGCCCACAGATAGTGGCCGGACACTTGAAAAAGTGACAAATGAACGAGTCACTGAAAGGAGGCAGGAAGAACTGCTTGTCTCTGTCTCAGAGTTTGGCGCAACCAGGAGGCAACAGGCCCTGAGTGAGGTTTATAGCTGTAAGTAATGTGGAGAAGATGGTCAATCCTGCTATGTACTTGACATTAGGACCGTGACCCAGAGGTTCACAATCTTCCCATTACGTAGTACATTCAGCAATAGCCGAGGAGGAGCTGGGGTTGTGGCAGCTCGCCCTCTGAGGATATGGTGGCTGCAGTTGACCAGAGATGGGGCTGGAGGATATGGTGGCTGCAGTTGACCAGAGATGACACAGAGCCTTGTGCTTGAAGTTCATAGAGAAAACCTAGTAGGGAGCTCAGGGAAGTGACATTTGACTGGAGCCACCTATGTGACATGCCTGGCACATCCTGTTTCACTAGTGGCCACCTTATTAAAAAGAAAGTGGGACCTTACAGTCCATTGCCTTACTGTGTTCACAGCACTTAGCACAATGGGTGCTTATTTCCCGTTAGTTTGTTTACTTGTGGACTGCGTTTCTCTCACGAGAATGCAGGTTCTAGGAAGATGGCCACCACACGAGCACCTGCCATACTAATGACATGAAATGTTTGCTGAACTGAATGAATGAATGACTTCACATTTGCACATGACAAGTATGATTAACCCTATTGTAGAGAAAGGAAAAGTGAGGCTCAACCAGGGTAAGCAACATGCCAGAGGCCACAGCCAGAAGTGGTGGAGGCAGAGGTAAAGGAAAGTCACACCTTCCACCTGCAGCGTCCCAGTCACCAGGGACCCAGTGTGCTCTTGTTGAGAACATGTACAGGTTTTCAAGTTTTCCAACAAATGATGACGAGCTTTAATGTCCCCCCCACCAATAGTACTTAACCTTTGTGCACAAGTGTGAGTGCCCACATTGTGAAACAAAGGGACTGTTCTGTTGGAGCCCCAGGCTCTGGAGGCCTGGACTCTGCCCTGACAGCTACTGCTAGGCTGGGCAATTTGGGGCAAGTCATAGCATTTTGCTAGAATGCGATTTTCTTACCGTGTGTAAAGTGAAGGCCTCTGAGCTTCTTTCAGTTCTGACAGGGTGTGGCTTTATGAGATGACCCCAGTAAGGTCTAAACATTTCTTATCCCCTGTCTGCCTCTGGGCTCTGCTGGGCTGGTCCAGAGAAAAGCCTGAATGGGTGGGGCCTAGGCTCAGCTGAGGTCAAGCAACCCTGAGGTCCACTGGTTGCTGATTTCTGCTTAGACAGCTTTCACAGCAGGGAGTGAGTGTTCCTGAGCTGTCCTAGGTATCGACTATAGATGGCTTGAAAGGTCAAGGCTCTCAACTGCTTAAAACAGCATGAAGTTGCTGTTGAGAAGCTCTGTGGCCTAGAGAGCTTACAGGTAAGCAGGCTGGGCTCCAAGCCTCAGCCCCCAGAGACGGGATCTTCGGAGCATCTGGTATATTATTGGCATATGTCAATACTGTACTGCTAGTTAAGGTCTGACGCTTTCCATAGAAAGGTTCCCAAACTGCTCTCTTCCACGTGTGTGCCACCGGTGGAAAATCGCTTGGACACCTAGACAGCTCATGCTTACATCCCTGAGTCCACAGCGCCAGCTCTCTATGTCTCAGAGTAAACAACTGAGCTCTGAGCTAGTATTTCTTGGGCTGTTTGCTTGAAACTTTTTACCAGCACTTGAACAGTTCAGAAAGGAGAATCACGCACAAAAGCAAGAAAAACAAGGACCTGTTCACTGCGTACGCTAAGCTAACACCTGAAAACACAAGGCAAAGAGCTTCCTCTACTGAAATGAATTGTTTACAAGACCAGTGTCCTGGGAGCACTCTGCAAGGGTGAAAAGTCGGCATAAATCATAAGAGTTTCCACAGTGCCTTTCAGCCAACCTGATGAATGTGACGAGGCTGCTGATAGGCTGGGTCCAAGCTGCATTTAATTGAACCCCTTCCCCAAATGGCCTGTCCGTCTCTGCAGCTGCAGGGAGACTGAAACAGTCAGCCTTCAACCATGTGCTTCTCTGAGATGTCTTAGAAGTCTGAAGGCCAAGGAAAAGAAAGACAAAAGGTTTTATTTAGCACTAAGAACACCAGGGACACATTTGTTGGGACCCAGTCCAAGAAATATCATGTCTGAAAGTCAAATCAGCAACCCAGAAAAAGTCGCCTTTCCTTTTTGTTTCTTTGCAAGCCTGGGGAGAACAATAATGCCATCCTGTGGGGCTGAGGAGGTCCAGCTTCCTTACTCCACAGTGCCTTTGTCTCTGATCCACCAGCAATACACTCGATAGTGCAGCCCCTGGGTGAGGGCCATGTGGGCATTGTTAGGCCCTCCCTGCTCCGACATGCATCCAGTGCTTCTCTCCCAATCTTCCCTCCTGGTCTTCTCAGGACCCCTGTGGACTCTAGGGCTGCAGGGTGCTGCTCTGGGAAGGTGGAGGAGGTGCTAGGGCAGGAGGGGCCTTGGTTTGCCAGTTAAGGCAAGAGCTAGTGCTAGAACTGGCCAGCACAAGGCAGGGTGCTGGTAATGTCAGTCCAGGCTAACCTGGGAGAGCCCTTGGCATCCATTCCTCTCTGAGGTCCTTATCCTGTGACTCAGCCCAACAAGGAGAGAAAACCCATCTCTGAAGCTTGCAGTTTGGTCTTGATCCAAAGCTACTTACAACAATCCTGTTGTTTTGATTTTTGGAGCCAGAGGTAATGTTAGACTCTCAGTGTGGCCGGAATGTTTTTATCAGCTCCAGTGAATCAACCTACCACAGTGGGACATCCGGACGCCCAGCTCAGACAAAGCAGAGGTCTGATTCAGTGGCGGAGACTTGGATCTAACAAGCAGACCAAGAGTCGCACAGCCCGACTCTGCTGTCAGTTATGCGATCTGATGAAAACCCACAGGAAGTTCAGTGAGCAGATGTAGGGCACAACTGTCATAATTATATTACCACAAAAGTTCAGTGGAGATTTCCAGCTTCCACGTAAAGGTTATTCAGATAGCATCAGAAACTCTAGCGAGCACCTGGCATGGCTCCAAGGAAGCTTAATACAATTTTAAATCAAACAGCTACACAGCACACTAAAAAACTTAAGCCTGGATTAAGCCTCTGAACAGACAAGTGGACGGGTGACCATTGGCAATGAGGTGACCTGGGATCTGCTGGCAGCTGGTGTGCCCTGATGGATGGGCCAAGCCACTGTCCACAGCACAGGCAGGGTTTGTGGTGGATAGTCCTGTCAGTCCTCTCCACAGATTACTGTCATGTGACTTTGGTGACCGTCATGATACAGTGGTACTGCATTTGGGGCTACAGAGGAAGGAGAGGAGTGCCACTCTGCTCCAATGGTGTCATTTAGATTTAGGAAGAGGAACAGGAACAAGCAGGAAGGGTGTCTTGAGATGGGGAAAGGGGGTGGACTGCCAGGTAGCTCTGGCTAACATGGGGCCAGGTTTGGATAGCAAACTGGGGGAAAGAATGAACTGAACAATCAGGAAACATCTATGACATCCACTCAGTGGAATTACTGGTTGAGCAAGACTATAGGGAAGACTCTGCCACGTGCAACAGAACAAGTTACAGTGTATCAAATACTGTAAGCCCTGGCAAAAAGAAGAGTGGGTTGGTCAATGAATAACAGCACTGAACGTGTAGTATTCTACTTTATGTGAATTTATTTATTTATTCTCTTGACGGGGTCTAGTTTTGCCTAGGCTGGCCTGGAACAATCCTCCTGCCTCAGCCTCCTAAGCAGCATACCACCATACCTGGCTATGAATTCTTTAAAAAAGAGTACAGGAGTAAATTCAAAATATAGAAAATCATGAAGGGCCACTTCTTGGAAGTTATAAATTAAGAAAGACAAAGA